AAACTGGGGCCTGGGGCTGCTTTTCTCTTTAATCCGGTATGAGTGGGGGCGGGGCTCAGGCTCGTGCCCGCCTGGTGCCAACAGGCCTGCTGGCACGTTTGCTACAGTTGTTTGCACCCTGCTGGGGAAGGAACAGCCAGGGAGGAGTGTCCAGGCCTCCTGCGATTCTGCCCATACCTCAGCCCATGCAGGAACCTTGTCTGCAATCACCCCTTCCCGCTCCCTCACCCTGCATGGGCACCAGAGGCATCTTCTGCTGCCACAGTATGCTGCAGCTCCAAACCCGAACCCACGCCCCAAGCAGAGGCACCCACAGTTGATCTGTTGGCTTCAATCCAGCCACACGCAGAATCCCCTGGGCTCAAGTGTATTCACAGAGGTGGCCGCAGCCCGCTGGGCAGTGGGAGCTGCTTTCCAGCCACTTCATGATGTGTTGCAGGTGCCCACCATGACTGCAGCCCTGGCACCACACAAAGAGCCCCTTCACCACGTGGTGGCACACGGCGCACATGCTGGCGCACTGCCGACACCTGCCCAGGAGAGGAGGGGAGGGCAGACAAGTCAGGCAAGAGCAGGCAGCTCAATGAATCAAACCCAGCCAGCCACCTCCCACCCTGCACCACGGTACAAGCTCAGGCACCAGCACCCACACAGCACACACGAGCGGCCAGGACAGATCTAGGTCTTAAGGAACCACGCAGTACTCCTATACCCTAGATGGCTCCAGCAGTTGAGAGCACTGCACTGGCCATATACAGCAGGTGGGTTTTATTTCCAGCTCTGCCACTGACCTGCCGTGTAAACTTGGCAAAGCCACTTCTCCCACATTCCTGCTCTCCTACCTTTTCTTTGTCCTGTCTATTTAACTACAAACTCTTCAGGGCAGGAACTGTCCATCCCTCTGTCTGCCCTGCTATGTTGGGCACTGGGTGGGTACAATCTCAACCACAGTCCCCAGGTCCTACTGGAATACAAATCAACTGGAACAGGCTGGTGGGCTGTGCAGGGAGAAAGGAACAGGCTCCTTCACAGCTAGGCTCTAGGTACCTCAAGTACCACCTACCCCTTCCCCCAAGCCTCCTCACCTGTCACAGATCCAGCCCTTGTTGCTCATGGGCCGCTTGCAGTTGGTGCAGTTGATGTGCAGGGTGGTGGAGGCCTGGTTGAGGCAGTTGATGGCTCTGCACGTGCTCAGCTTGATCACCTCATTGGAGATGTTCCAGAGCTGGAAGCGCTGCAGCAGGTCAATGTAGGAGGTGTACCAGTGCTCCTGGGGACAGGCAGGGGGCACACATGTGGTTACTCTCTGCTTACCTCAAGAGCAAATCATCACCTCTGCAGCCTGATGCCCTAGCGGTGCATCACAGGTTAGCTCAGACAGGGAGGGTTGAAGAGGGATGTGCTCTTTGGTCTCTTCATGCAGCAGCACCTGTGCTACATCCCCATATAGGATGGCAACTTCAAAAGGAGCCGATCTCTGCACTTTTCATCATTCGTTCTGAGGGAAGTAAAGGCCAAGAGCATGGTTCAGCCCAATCCCAGGGATCTGGAGTCCCAGCCTTTGGGACTGACTGCCCTGCTGGGTTCCTTGCTCACTGCTGCTTTGCTGCAAATGGCGCACAGTGGCATTCTGGGCTGTAGTGCTCCCAGGTAACCGTGCCAGGACCTCTCCCTCCCCCATTCCCTCAGTGCAGCTGAAATACTTCCTCCCTCACGGACAGCACCACCAGTTGGGCTCAAGTCCCCATTCTCCACTTTCACCCAGGCTGGCCTCACCCCCTGATGGGGTTTGGAATATCTTCTCCAGGCTACACCTGAGTCTTGAAACTTGTACCTTCACACAGGAAGCACCAGCTGCCAGTTAGCACTTAGGGTATGGGCTTGGATCTCCAAACATGCAGGGCTAGGGTCTCTGACAGTGGAGATCAGCCAGAAGCTAAAGCTGCCAGTTGACTGTCAGAGGTGGATATGTCTGTCTGCACCTGGGAGACAGCACCAGGTGCCCCGACCCTGTAATTTCCTCCCCATCTGTCCTCCAGAGTACAAATCTGCTCAGTGCAAGGCCTGTCCATCACATGCCACATGTGTGATCCTGCACATCAGTGTCCCTGTGCTGACTAGGTCACAAGGAGGTACATATAGGCCACACAATAGGCTGGCTTCTGTACTTGGAGCTTTGGAGACCTGCAGTGTCACAAACCCAACTAGCCCCCAGCCAGCCTGGCAGCAACTGAAACTCCCCAGCTGAGCTACTGCCTCGGACTGCACAAAAGGGATGAATGAGGTCTGCACTCAGCAAGAAACCCTCCATGGCTGGGTTATGGCAAGCAGCCCTCTTCCCTTCAAGTCATGCTGGTTCACTGTCCACCTGGTTCAGCAGGTACCATGCTGCTGGAGGTAGTCTTCCCACCACAGCAGAGACCCTGGCACCATACCTGGGTCTGCTCATCGATTTCCTTCCGGATCCGGTCCCCCAGCACAATGAGCACGGACACAGTCATCTGCACATCACCCTGCTCAGCGTAGAAAAGCAGCATGTCCCGCACGATGGGGCTGAAGAAGTCTGGGGGCAGGCGGTTCTCATAAAGTGAGTGGGAGATGGAAATGAGGGAGAAGGACTCCACAGGGGTCAGGGACACAGTCTCAGCTTCATTGCCACTGACATGAGGAGAGTCAGCCTTGTCCTGCAGGTGGTCCAGGGCAGAGGGGTTGTCCACGATCTCGTGGCGCAGAGGAAAGGCCTCCTGGGGTAGGACGTACTCCTGCTCCTCAGCTGCAGAGACAGGAACCATGAGTCTTCTGTGAGTGGGGTTCATGCCACTGAGAAAGGAGTCAAGGAGGGACCTGGTGTGCAAGCATGCAGACACACATGCACATGCACGTACTCACCATGGGGATTCTCGTGGTCCATCATGTACAGCTCATCCTCATCTCCCTCCACGTCCCCCAGAAGATAGTCTGCGGGGACGTCACTGCCCTCAGTCTCCTCATTGTCTAGATAATCCAAGGAAAGAAGGAAGGAGAAGGAGCAGAGCAAGATGGGTCAGGGCATCCCTATAGAAGCAGAGTCTGTTGCAGATTTTCCTCACATTTCAGCTGCAACCCCAGGCTGCTCACCACTGGCCACAGCCCAACTGCATAACTCATCAGGCCAGGCCCCTGCCCTCACGCTCAGCAACAGGAACTGAAGTCACATGCTGGAGATACAGACATCATGCTCTGCACAGTGACAGCACCAGTCTCCATGTTCAGACAAGCAGTAACCAGCATCCACTCTGCTTATGGGGGAAACAGGGAGGGCCGAGATACAGATCTGGAAGTGACTTCCCACAAGTCAGGCACAGTGGCCTATCTCCTAATTCCCTGCTTTAAACTGCTGGTCCCTGAAAGACTGGCAACAACCTGCCCCACACTCCAGGGGAAACCCTTGCGTCAGAACTAGGCCAATGATCTGCAGTCTTCTGCTTCACAAAGCAGCTGCAATTTGGCTGGAGCTCTGTAGGGACTGGGTTCCCTAGGAGAAGGAAAAGTACCCCACAGGGCTGACAGCCAATCAGGACTGATGGAGTCGAAGAAATATAGGGCCATGGGGACCTCAAGAGGTCAGTTAGTCCATCCCCCACTGAAGTCAAGAGCATCCCTGTCTAAACCATCCTATGTATTATGTGAGCCAGCCACAGCACACTGCTGCCCTCCCCCATGGCACAGTCACAGAACTGTTACCATCATTGTTGATCAAGGTGGAGGAAGAATCCATGAGGATGTTTTCAGGTCGGCTCTCTCCTTTGCTGCGATCCAGTCTGGACTCACTGCCCATCCCAGACTGAATATCCTTCAGGTTAAAGCTGGGGGGAAGCCAAGATGGGGTGGATTGTAATTACAAATTCTAATCAGGATTTGCATCAGCAAGTGGAAAACCTCGACATAAATCACTGAATTTAGTTCCATCCTGGTATTTTTTAGTTACTTTCCTAAATGTGGGGGGGGAGACACGGGGACCGGACACTCACTGACTGCTAACTGTTAAAACCTCTTCATTTATCATTAAACAAAGCATTCACACTAAATTTGGCACCTCAGGAAGATACGCTACATCAGCACACATTTACTCAAATCATTAATCCCATCAAAATTACTTTATAATGGTTAACACGCATTTATTAATACCCTTTATTTTTACACTGATGTCAGCAAGTGATGAACGACGCACTATTTTTTAAGACAATTATTTCTTTACTTGTAATTTATGTCAAGGTCTACTTGGACAGAGAATGAAATTCAGCTAAAACACACAATAGCATCTATTTTTCTGAATTCAATGGAACTTCAAATGTTCGGGATTCCTGGAGGGGGAGGAGGGGGAAGAGTAAATTTAGCAGAATACATCTTCCATTTGGAATGGATTTATTAAAGGAAACATCAGCCGCAGTACTCTGTGTAACAAGTGGGCATCTCTGGGCCAGACAAATCGTTGGCCCGCCCACTTGTCTCAGGGTTAACCACCTGCCTTCGTCACCTGCCATGCCTTTGATGATATTAACTGAAATATGGTAACAAGGCAGGAGGCTGCCCATTTATTTGCTCTGAGGCCAAGGGCCTATATACACAGCTCTGACCTCCCCTATACTGTGTCCCTTGCTTCTCAGATGACATCCATGGCGTAACACCCAGCCTATAAGCCTGCACCTGCATACAGGGACCTGCACTCCAGTCTCACGTGGGACTCTTACTCCCCACTGCAGCTTGCAATCTCGGTGCTCTCACACTGGGCTCTCATTCAATCAATCGGGGCTCTTAGCCCCTACCTGCTCAGGGCTCCGAGCCCCTATCACTTCGGGCACCATGCCCAGCTAAGTCCCTTCACACCCCCACACTGGGGCCTCAATCCCCTGCTCTACACTGGGCCTCACAAATCCTGTTATCCCCTTCTGAGGCTCCTCAGGCATCTAGCTCCTTCAGCTTACGGCTCCACCACCCTGGAGCCTCACACTTGGCTCCTTAATGCAACTCAGGTCTCACAGTGAGCCTGGAAACTGCTTCAGGACTCACTGTGAGCCTGGGCCTCTGCTTTGACTTTGGGGTGTGCTCCCCTAGCCTTTCCCCACCATGGGGCTACCCGCAAGGCAGCAGGGGCTGAGGCTTTCTGGTGCCCCATACTTGCCCTTCACCGGGGAGACACAGATGTGGCATTTCCTGGAGACTGCCCCACCATCAGCAGTCCCACCAAACCATCCAGCCCCAGCAGGGTGTAGTATTAAGTCATGCCCCAAGACCAGAAGCCTCCTGCCTTTACCTCCAAAATGATATGAGCAGCAGCTCCAGCCAAGTGGTGTTCTACTCCTGGCTGCCTGCAGCAGACTGCTGACCACAATGCTCAGAGCCCTGCTCTTATAGGGAACAGCTAAGCCTGTTCCCAATCAGGAAGTTGTGCCTGATTGGGAATGCAGCCACCTGCAAGCTGCTTGCTGTCTGCTCTCACCCCTGTGAGAAACAGAGCACACCCTGTGCTCTGTTACACTCTAGTTACCAGGTTCTTCAAGATTTTACATCTAAGAGCTTATCTTCTCGCACCTAATTTTTACCACAGATTGGAAGAAAAGCAGCTTTTAAAGTCCTCACAGGTTTCTTAACTTTGCTCAAACAAGTCATTGAACTGCCCTAGCTGAATAAATTGAAATGAAGAAAATAATCCCCTTCCCTGAAGAGGCTACAGCCATCAAAAGCTGGCTTAGCACTTCAGCAACCTCTGGTTCGAGGTCCTTGGCCAGAGGCTTCCCCACCAATTTCAGTGGTCTGACCTTTTAAAAACTTCTATAGCAAATGAGCCCTGTTTAATATTTTAAAAATGTTATTTAAAATTCTTTTAATGTTTATGTGTTAATGGAGATGGTCCATTTCAAAGAGAAAATGTGCTAAGCTTAAATAAAATTTGATTTAAATATTTTTTTCCTAAAGGTGCACTGATATAATCGGTGGCATGTTGGATTGACACCAATAAAAGGAAAATTAACATCATCAGAGACTGGCTTTTTTTGACCAGTGTAGCCGATGCAGCCCAGCAGAGCGGAGATGAGCATCTCACTGTTAAGTGTGTAGAGGGGAAGGGGTGTGGGGGAGGGAAGGAGAATGGGGGAGGGAGAGGGCAGATTGAGGCCCCCATGGTGAGGGGAAGGAGTGGGGTAGGGGCTGGTGCTCCCCACCACTGTGTGCACCCCCAGGGGAGGCACAGGGGGCATGTACCCCCTGGATTTATGCACAGGACAAGGGCAGGTGGCCCGCTTCAAGCTCAGGGCCAGGGGCTGTGCCAGCCTTTTCCAGGCTGTGCAGGGCTGGGCCAGGGCTGCACTTGGAGCAGGTGGCAGCAGCAATGCTGGGAGGAGTTTCTATGAGGTAGGCTACAGCCACCCCAAAATTCGCTAAAGCCACATCTCCCAGTGCTGCCCCTGCTCAACTCCTCGCCCCTGCTGGGAAAAGGCCAGCGCAGCCTCTGGTTCCAAGCCTGCAGCAGGCAGTCCGCCCTCACCCCACACACAGATCCAAGGGGCACATACCCCCCATGCCTCTCCCAGAGATGCACACAATGGCAGGGAGCTCTGCCCCTCTCCAGCCCTTGTTCCCCTCCCCACCCAGATGACCAGCCTACGGTTCCAAACCAGACCCAGCGTTGCATTCATCGCCATGACTGCGCAGTGCCTGCCCCTGCCCTATTCCCTCCCTCACTATGGAGGCCTCGATCTGCCCCCACCACCTAAGCCCCTTCCCCCCACCCACAGACTTACCAGCCTGACACTGCGGGCTGCACATCATCTATCAGACTGATATCAGCCAACATGGCTGGATAATAATCAGCCATTGATACTGGCCAAGGAAATCTTTATTGGTGCACCCCTACTTTTTCTAATAAAGCTGATTTCAAGTACTCCAAGCCAAACCAAAGCTGGCTTCTTTATTTCTCTCCCTCTCTCCTCACGTACACAACTGCTACATTAGCAGTTGATCTGCAATCACGGAAAGGTGGGAGTGGAAGGGACTTCAGGAGATCATCTACCCTGCTGCAGGTAGAATCATCTGTGTCTAAACCATCCTAGACAAATATTTGTCTAACTGTTCTTAAAAAATTACAACTCCCAGACACAATGCCCAAAACATCAAAATACCTTTTAACTTGCCACAGGTAAAGCAGGGGGACAAGGACACTGCCAATGTCAACTGATGGAACTCCAGATGGCCACACACTGCAAGGCCTTTCTACTAGAGGTGCACCAACACATCGGTCCCACATTTGATCAGCACTGATGCAAGGAAAATAGACAGCATCAGCAATCGGCTATTTTTGGCTGACATGGCCAATAATGTGGCTGATAAATGCCCCGTGCATGTGCGCAGCCACAGTGCAGCATGAAGGCAGCCAGGAGTGCAGTCCAGCAACATGGAGATCAGCATCCAGCTGGTAAATCTGTTGTGGTGGAAGGGGTTGGGGGAAGGAAGGGGTGTGCAGGGGGGGTACATTGAGGCCTCAGCAGTGAGATAGGGAGTGGGGCTGGGGCAGGCACAGGACAAGCCACAAGCAGTTCATCCGGAGCACATGGGGATGGGGGGGCAGCCCCCAAAACTACATGCACCTTGGGAAGGCATAGGGGGTGCCTTCCCCCAGATTTATGTGCAGGGTAAAGGCAGGATACCACTACGGGGCTGGGGCTAGAGGCAGCCCCAGGCTCTTCCTGGCAGGGTCTGCACTCAGGGTTGGGGCTACAGCAAATTTTGAGGTGGCTGCAGCCCCCCTCCCAGCGCCATGGCTGCCCGCCCCAAGTGCAGCCCAGCCCAGCCCAGCCCAGCCCCCTGCACCCAGTCTACTGCGGCAGTCTGCCCTTGCCCAACACACAGATCCAGGGGCACATGTCCCCCATGATGTCCTGGGGTGTGTGTAGTGGCAGGAGCCACCACCCCTCCCCATGCCCCCCGGGTGAGCTGTTCGCAGCTCCACCGTGCACCCTGCCCTGGCTGTGCAGCGCCTGCCCCAGCCCCACTTCCTCCCTCACTGCATGGGCCTCAATCTTCCCCCCACCATGCCTCTTCCCTCCCCCCACCCCTTCCACCACAACAGACTTACCAGCTACATGCTGATCTTTTGGCTACTGGGCTGTATATCAGAAATCGAATCAGTATCAGCCAATATGGCTTGTCAGAAATCAACCATCAGTATCAGCCCAAAAAATCTCTATCGGTGCATCTCTACTTTCTACCTTTAGCCAGTGTTTCCCACCTCCTATCCACCACATGCTCCTCACTCACGTGCGGGCCTCATAGCACAACCACTGGCTGGGATGGCTGTGGTCAGGCTGCTTACCTGTTCATGAGTGGGAGGCTGGCGCTGCCCTTGCCCATGCTGTGATTCAGGTTAGCAGACGACACAGTGCCAGGGCTGGAGTAAATAATTCGGAGCATCGTCCACGTCTGAGCAACCTGCCCCAGGGAAGCAAGAGAAAGTGGAGAGGAAGAGGTCACGCAATGCCTACTGTCTACGAACCGGGACACAAAGGGTGAGTTTCTGGAGCACAGCTCCATCCAGGCCTGTGCCAAAAGCAGGAAGCAGGGCACACTATCCTATGCTGCAGAGATGGTGGGCTGGGGGCATGGATATTAGGGCCACAATAAGTTCCTCCAGAAATCTGTTGGTCCAGGCTCTCTATCCTGCAGCTGTGGACTCCCTCCTGGTCCTGACTGCTGAGGCAGAGTGAGAGCCCCAAGCTTCACATCTGGGTCAGGGTCTGTCTTGGAACAATCCTTTGTCTCGAGCTGGTGGGATTGGGGCCCTGCTTTGCTCAACTCTGGTCACAAACAGTGCTAGGCTGGGCTCTGCACATACAGCCTGTACAACAACCTGCTGGGAGGGAACAGGGGAGATCCTTCACTGCTGGGGGCTGGTGATCAATAGCAGAAGGGAGAGAAAGAGATACAGACTGGACAGGAGTGAAAAGGCATAATGGGAGAAGAGGAATAGAATAGCTGACTACAGGCCACAGGGGCTGAGGGCACTGTGAAGCCCCTGCCCTGGCACTGGAAGGGGCACTGGAGTGGATTATTCCTGTAAAACACCCTCCTTTGGCGAAGTACAAATCAGTGCTGATGGGCTCCAAGGAGGGGGCTCATCCACCTCCCCCTGGCTGGGAGGGACTCAAAGGGGAAGGACCTGGGGAACAAATCCTTAAAGAGAAAGAAACTGAGACTGGGGGATCCACCAAAGAGGAGACTGGCAGAAACAGCAGGTCAGGGAGAAAGAAACACATGGAGCCAGAGGAGCAAGAGAAAAAGATAAAGGAAGAGAGCAACAGTAGAAACAGCCTCCCACACGGGCTGGCCACGTTTCTGAGCTACCTCCCAGCCCTGGTCTAGTCCACTGGGGGATCCCTGGTTAAGCACTTGGGACTCTGTGTCTATAAAGTTGAGTCCCTGGGATGTGGGGACCTTACACCCCTTCAAGAGACTCCCTGCATTCTGGCATGGTGGCCAATTGTGCACCACTTCCCTGTCCCAAAGGGAATCTCACTGTAACTCCTGCTGTCTATGTTGCTCATCTAAGACCAGACAAATTATTTCACTTTTCTCCTGATTCTTCCCAGCTTGGCATCACCTATTAACTTCACCAGGACTCAGGGTACCCTCTCACAGATCACAAAGATGTTTGTGACAGATCTGGACTGTCCCAACTTGCAAAGACATCTCTAGACACTCCCCCATCTCTGGTTTACCAACACCCTGTAGCTTCTCACCACCCCCATCAGCCAGCACAGCCCTGATGTGATGACAAGATTCCAGCCCAAGTGGATTCAAATGAATAGTGTTTCCAAGGCACTGCCCATGTCAAGACCTATAATGTTAGTGGCCAAAGACAGCCCAGAGATGGCTGTCACATAGCACACACTCAGATGGCAGACACCCAACAGAAGAGTCTACTGCTCTGTCAGGTGGAGCAGTGTCCATCAGAAGCTGGAAGACAGCCTGCCATGCTTTGTAACCTGAAAAACTGGCATCTCCACAGGTGAGGTGGGTGCACATATACGTGCATCTGCCCTATGCCAGCAGGGTCTGCTGGAGACTGGTGGGCAGGGCCTCTCCTCTCTCCCAGGCTATATAAGGGGACAGGGCATTTTACCTGGTTGCGGTCAAGCTCTTTTGCTACTGCTGCATTGTGGTCACACAGTTCTGCCAGGGGCCGCCCCGCCAGCACATACTGCTTGGCTGTTCTCACAAACCAGTCCATACTGCCACTCTCCACATCTGTCTCAAAGACACTGAGGGCACTGGAAGAGGAGATGTACTCAAACTGCTCAGTGGGGTCCAGCTTGCGTTTAAAGAAGATGGGGTGCCGTCGGTCACCAATGTAAGGCTTGCGGTTGGAGTCAGAGGAAATGAGGCTCTCTTTGGCTGCAAAGGCCAGGTCTCCATAGAGGCTGTAGCACAGCCCCTCAGGGTTGGCCCTGTCAATGGGCTGGCTGGCATCCTTGAAGATGTGCTGGTAGAGGGTACTGTCCTTGGAGCCAGAGAGGAGGAAATAGGGGTCATGGAGGTGGCGCCATACAATGCCTGTGGTGACATCTTTGTGCTCTTCAAACATGGCAGAGGGGATGAAGGGGCGCCGCACGTCCCACACATAGATGTTGTGGTCCACCATCATGGAACATGTGGCAATGTGGTGTTTGCACTCAGGCCGCCACTTCACTCTTGCCACAGAAGCTATGGTCTGTACACAGTAGATCTCTTTGGCCCGGTTGGTATTCATGTCCCAGACCTTCACCATCTTATCTCGTCCTCCTGTTGCCAGCCAGCCTCTGGGAAGGGGTGGGAAATGGGGAGGATGAAAGAGAGGAGTAGACACGTTAGCAGACAACTGGCACCGAAGGCTGGTCATCTTGGATTGTTGTTTTTTCCACACATCTCTTAATTCACCAGGGTGCTGCCTGCCCAGGTTGCTGCAGCTTGGAGCTCACCAAGACTGCAAGTCCCAGGGGACAGAGGTCTTTCCCATCCAAAGGGAGGTTGCAGGCTGGGACATGCAGGAGTTTGCAGGAGTGGGTGGGACATGCAAAGGGAGTTTGCAGGAGTATGGCCACACTCACCTATTGAACTAGAGGGAGGATGCAGCATCTTCCATTTTAACTCAGTGGCTCTCCAGCCACTGCTTGAGAAAAAAAGATCTCGCTCCCCAGCTTTGCTGTGTCCTATGCATTTCATTCACGTTAGGACTTCCCTTCTGCCCAAATCAAGGCAGACACATAAAGGCCAATGTCAGGTAATTTGCCTTTCTTCAGCTTGCAAGGAATCACAGGCTGAAGTGGGCAAGGGGCCACCTGGTGCTGGTTAGCAGATGTACAGGAGCTGCATGCAATGTTTCTCATTTACTGGCAAACGTGGCTTTTCCTATGCAGAACCTCAGTTTAAACCTAAGAGCAGGAGGGCAATTTGGCTAAACACAAGACCTGCATTTTAAAATAAGTTCTGAGGTTTTCACTCTTTGAACTTATCCGGTCAGTACCTGGATATGCCTTGTATTGACAGACCCCAGGAGCTCAAGGCTGGTTAACAAATGACTAAGGCCCCTGGCAAACATGCAAGCAAAGGTGTGATGGGATCTGATGCACAATCTCCACAGCTGTGCTTCTTGCCATGCTAGATGCGCATGGCAGAAGCTGTGATCGTTGGATCAAACATCAGATCCCATCATGCCTTATTGGATCATGATCCAGGGCTCCCCCTACATCAGCAAGTAGCAAACTACCCCAGCCAGGAGCCCCACAAGCTGATCCAGGCTCTCAGCCATATGCCCCTGCAGCTGTCAGCTGACCTGGGCTGCCAGCTTCAGGGCGCGCCCTTATGGCTGGGAGCCCCAGACTGGCCACACATGCAATTAATGGTGTGATAGGAACCAGTCACAAAATTATTACATATTTTTTGTGTAATAACTTTGCAGCTTATTCCTTGTTTTACCTTGCCACTAATTGACTGAAGATGCAATTAACTAGTTAATCATGTCTTAAGTGTAACATGTGCCAGGGGCCTAAGAGATCACAGCAATACACATTGCAGCTTCCTGCAGGTTAGCACACAGACTTCTGCTGGGTGTGTATTTATAAACTCTGCTGCTTTGGGAGTATTCAGCAGAAGGACCCTCATTAATCAAATTTCCACAGTCCCCTAGAGTGTCAGCAACAAGGCACTATGCAAAGGGCCCACACCAGTTCTTGCCAAAATAAAAGCACGAGCGCCTACTTCTGCCTGAGTCAGACCTGATGCCACCAGCCTAGCACCTACCTGTCCTCAGGATGCCAGTCACAGCAGAATACTGGCCCATTGTGGGCAGTGAACATCCTCTCATAGCGGTCTGGCCGCCGGATGTCCCACAGCTGCACATTCCCATTCTCAAAGGTGGCTGCAAAGGTGAAGTAATCCCGGATGCTGAATTGCACATCACGCACGCTTTCCGACTGGCCTGTAGGGAAAAAGAAACAGACCAGAGCTGACAAGGCCCCATGAAAGCTATTCTCCCAGCAGTACTGAAGCTCATGTTTGTTAGCACATTCCCACACAGCTGCTTACCATGGACCAACACGAGCCACTGAACATCAAAGTATCCTGGATGGACAACTGACCAATCCTAGAACTTCCAGGGTAGCCCGTGCCCACCTGGGATCAAGTAGTTCACTTCCCAGAGCCCTATCCATGCCATAATAGAGAGGTCTCATTCCAGCATTTTCCTTAGGCCCACTTGGGGTTCATGTGTTCTAGGTCCCCTCTACACATGCAGGTAAAGGTGTAATTGGGTCTAATGCATAATCCAAACAAACAATCATGCCTCCTGCTATGCCACACACACACACACACACACACACACACCAGGGGGTGCAATGGTGGGGTTGCACATTAGATCTCATCACATCTTACTGCCAGTGTAGGGGGAGCCCAATACTAAGCTCAGGCAGCCAGGACCCAGAGCCCCATCAGGTGCAGGGTCTCTGGGTTTCAGCTGCATGTGAGGTACAGCTGGGATCCAAATCTCCACCAGGTGCTGGGGAGACCCTGCTACAAGCTCAGTAGCAATCAGCTATAAAGTTAGTACACATTTTCAAGATCTAACTTTAAAGTAGGTTGGAGCTTTTTATCATGTGATAGCTGCTTTGCAGGTGTAGCTGTTCTCAAGGTTGCACAATTAACCAGTTAATTGCATGATACCTCTAAGGTGCAGAGGGGACCTTATTGTGCAATTAATTATTTAACTGTGCAATTAACTGAGACCAGCTACATGTGTAAAGTAGCTATCACACAATAAAATGCTTCAACCCGCTATAAAGTTAGACCTCAAAATGGTGTACTAACTTTATAGCTGATGGTTCTCCACCTTTAATTTGCATGTGTAGCAAGGAATACATTGCATGAGACCAAACTGCCAGTCCTCCAGCATCCCAGAGGACATTGCTCCATCTCCACCATAAACTTCTCTGAAAAAGAACAAGAAGGAAACCCCTGTCCCAGCATAGTTATGAACCCTAAATTCATTCTCCATATCCAACAGCACCCAGCAGGAAAAATACTTATGTGAGCACAAAGTATCTGCAGACACACCCTTGCCATGCTGGAGCACCCCAGGCAGCAGTAAGCACAAGTGCAGGGTGCCAGGGACACCCTGCCCAGCCACAACATACCCCAGGGAAGCACAAGGGAGGTAAAGGAAATGGGGAGGGACCCCCCCACACACACAGCAGCAGCACCAGCTTTTATTCCTTTTTCCCTCCTCCTGACAGCCTGCCCCACACACATGTAGTCATGCACATGGCGTGATGAGGAAAGCACTGCCAAGATAGAAATAACTTCTAGAGCAGTGGTTCCCAAACTGTGGGTCATCACAACCCCAAATGAGTTTGGAACATCAGCGGATAGGGTCATGATAAATGTGCCCCCTGAGCTTTCTGCATCCACAGTGGGCTGCAGCTGGACTGGACCAGCTCTGGGCAGGAGGCCTATGTGGCCCAGCAGGTGGGACTGCCGCACCACCACGGCCACCAAGGTGAGGCACGCATGGTGTGGCACAGTTGCGCTCACACTGTTGCTGGGTGAGCAGAGGGCACCTTAGCTTGGCACTCATGGCAGTGGGGCCCAGCGTGGTGCTCCTTCCCTCCTGTGCCAGGTCGTGCCCACTGGGCTGTGGGTGGGGAGAGAGGGGCACCTGGGTTTGTGGGGGACTGTGGGTTGGGAGTGAGGGGCCATACTGAGGAAGTGGGAAGCACTGATCTAGAGCCACCCCCTAGTCTCCTTCTGTCCTAGGGGTGGGCAATTATTTTGGCCTGTGGGCCACATAGGGAGTTTTGTTGTGCTGTCACAGCCTGGGTCAGCACCCCCCATGCAACAACTCACCCAAACTCCCTATGTGGGATGGGGCTGCGGGCAGGCTGGGAGCGGTATTCAGGAGTGAGAGGGGAGGTTGAGACTGGGATCACGGGCCAGGGTTGTAGGGTGGTGACAGTGTGGGACCAGGGCCTGGGGCAGAGCCATAATCTGCTTCCCACATGTCCCTGAACAGGCACGGGTTCCATGGCCAGGAGTACGCAGCAAACAGACTGCAGCTCTGCCCCAGCCTGGCCCCAAGCTGCTTCTGGCCCAAGATCCTGGGGTCTCCATGTGGAAGCGGCACAGGGAAGGTTCTCCGATTATGTCCACCTGGATGAGTGCCGTATTCTCACAACTCCTGGTGGGTCTCTATGGTGCCTGGGTGGTGGGGCTGGGTAAGGTGGCAGTGACAGCTGGAAGGAGCCCGCTGGGGCTGCTGGGAAATGGAGTCCGGCAACCAGGCTGCCCCAGCCCCACAGTGCGCCCAGGCACAACTGCCCCTGTAATTGGGCCAGCCAGGCCTGATGGACCTGCCACAGGCTGGGCAAAAATTGCTCCATATTTTGCCCACCCCTGTTCTAACCCCTGTGCATATCCCTTATCTACAACACGGATCAGTAACTGTTCCACCAAAGCCACAGTCCCTGGCATCATGAGGAAGCAAAGGCCACCGGAGACAGGAAATCAAGCAGCCATGCAGGTTGAGTCAGGGACAAACAGAAAATGATACCAATGCAACCTCCTCCACCGCCACCCATAACAGCTCCCCATGCTGATCTAGCTAATGCAGCCCTAGCTCCAGGCCAAACGCAACCTTCAAGCCAGACCATAAAGCACCTTAGCAAGTTCAGGGACTACAAAACACTGAGCAAGACCAGTGGCTCACAGCCCTAGATACTGCAGGCTACAGGTCCCATCAGCCACAACTCTGTCCCCAGACCTCTTGCCTAGGCCAACACAGCACCAGAAGGTGCTAAAACATTACCCAACAAGCACAAAGAGAGGTCAGAGGGGCTAAGTTCTGGAGCAGAGGGGTGATGAGATATTTTCCTAGTCCCTAAAGCAGGAGTTGACACTCAAGATGGTGGCAGGGCGCCCAGCCCCAGCCTATGGCTCCTGCAGCGAGCACCCCACAGCCAAGCGCGCTGGCTGACAGGGCCCAAGACCTCATCCTTACCAGAGAAGGTGCTGACCGAGTCTTTCTTGCGTAGGTCGAAGCATTTCATGTAGCCGTCCTGGGAGCCGCTCAGCAGCATGTACACCTCCGTGGGATGGAAGCAGACCTTGTTAACCGTCCGCTTGTGCTCGGTGAACAGCTGGTCCTGCTTGTTGCGGGAGGGCTTGCCCAGGTTCCAGGTGACCACCACGCCGTTGGTGGCAGCCGTGGCCAGCAGGTTCTCGTCCATCTGGTGCCAGACCACATCGGCGCAGCTGAAGTTGAGGGACGGCTTGCGGCCCACGCGCAGGTTGAGCTTCTCCACAAACTGCTCCTCCTCGATGGCGTAGATCTTGAAGATGTTGCGGCCGGCCACCACCACCTGGGCGGCGTCGCGGCACACGCTGATGGCGTTGGCGGGCGCGTCCAGGTGGCAGAACATGGTGCGGCCTGTGATGGTGTTGCCCCCCAGGGCCGTGGTGACCCTGG